CTCTCTCATCTCCAAAAATTGTGTGAGAGTTTGCAATTTACAAAGTGATGCAACTAAAAAAACGGAGGAAGTATGATTTTTAATACTCCAAATATCCTACTACTTTTTTTTTTTTTTTAACTAGGAAGAAGAATATTATTTCTAATAAATAGTCACACAACACCTACAATTATAATAATAAAGATTGGTAAACCTCTAGAAAAAATAACATAAGTTTTACAATCAAAATCATAGCTATTTTGCATATTAGGCATAGCTCACACTCCACTGCTTCAAACTTGACGCGAGCAATGATTTTCGATGTCTTTGCATCTTTTTAAGTAGAGCTAGACTTTCGCAATCTGCACTGATGTTTTTATTGTAGAGTTGATTTGTTGATGACAAACCCTAAAGCAATATTAATCCAAATCACCTTCTCAATTATTATTAAAACCCTAAAAATAAAATTCACATCCATTGATGAGAATCAAAATCTCATAAAAATAGGGAAAAATAAAGGAAAATTCTACATGGTGGCCTCATACTTGTAATTTTTCTACATGGAAGACAATGTTTTTTTTTTATTCTCTTAAGTAGCACCCAAATTTCACTAATCTGGTTTAAGTGGCCTAATTGTCATTAAATGGGCTAACCAAGTACTAAATGACTCATTTTCTAACTAATTAATTCATTCCCTTCCTAAATTACACTAAAAGACTAACCTACCCCTTAATTAATTTATTCCCACCCCAAATTCATAAATGCCAACTTCATCACTATTTGCTCGACATTAAACCCAAAATTCTCATAATTATTTCATCATTGTTCAACCTTCATCAAATCATGATTTCTCAAATTGATTAAAAATTAAACAAAATTGCGTGATAAATTTTTTTGCGAAATTATTGAGCAATTGTTATCAATTAACGTTTTGGAATAGTTTGATATTTGGTGAATTTGGATAAGCAAAATCTAGGGTTTTTGGTTGAAATTCTGACGAAATTCGCACAATCAGGGAGCTTCTACTAGTTGCTGAATTGGTATATAGATCTTAAGCAAGGTACGTCCTTAAATATTGAGTTTGTTGATGTTGTTTTTATACTTGCAGAAGTTAGATGCTCTGTTTTTGGTTGTCCGAGTATATGTTGATCAAAGATGATATCTTTATGCTTGCTAGTACATGTTTGATGTTAAAATTATGCTTGTTATGTTGCAGAATGGATAAAGTTATGCTAAAGTTTGCGTGTATGGGTAATATAATTGAGGTTTTTGTTGAAGATGTTGAAAAAGTCATGTGGATAGATTTGATAATTGAGTCTGAAGAAGGGTTTAGGAAAAACAACTATGACTTCCCTAAATTCCTAACTTTCACTATTGCTATAAAATGAAAGATGTTAAGATAATTCCGACTGTGATTTAATGGCTATGTTTGATAGTTTAAGTGATTGAGAAGAGATTACTATTTGGATTGGTTTTGGGGATAAACCTACTGACAAGGTAATTGCTGCTATAAAGCTTGCAGAATCACTAAAACAAAACAACCCTAATGTACATTTTGGTGCTAGCCCACCTAAGCAAAATAAGACTCTAGAGAAGGAACACATTGAGCTAGAGGGTGGGGGGATTAGATCAGATTGAACCAGGAGGGAATGAAATATGTCATGAAGGTGAGGATTACTGGAATGATATCAGGGTAGACATGGAAATAGAGCATAATTTACCAGATGATGATAGAGAGGATAATGAAAAGGAGATAAGAGAAAAGGAGAGAAAACAAAAGGGGAAAAGAAATAGTGCACCAAAAGCTGTGAAACCTAAGAAACTACCAGCCAAGAGAAAGCTGCAAGTAGCCAGTGAACAAGAAACCATGCCCACACAACAAAATTTCTCAAAGGCCCCTATAGTTCACCAAACACCAAAATTTTCCTTGCCAACACCCTGTGCTTTTGTTGTAACACCCCCGATTTACTAACTAATAATAAATAAGAAATAAAGGAAAAATAGACAACCTTTAAATAAAACCGCGGAAGCATACACTTAAATCGGAGGTATTACCGCCACACTTAACAACCTGTCAAGTGTTAAGGCTTACAAAATCCCAATTTCAATAAATTAAAACCCTTGGTTTATAATTCATAAAATCTGAAAATTTATAACATAATTAAAATTTGAAATTATTAGTTTAAAACATCAAAACATGATTTTGATACTAAAAATATAATCTTTATACTACAAAATCAAAACCCAAAATAATTTAATAATAAACAAGATAGTAGAACAAAAATAAAAGGAGGAGGAAAGAGGGGCAGCCACGGTGGGCCACGGCTGGGCCGCTTGGTGGGTCGCCGGCGGTGGTGGGCGGTGACCGGCGACGGTGGGCAGCAGGCGGTTGCAGGGGAAGCAGTGAGCTATGCTCACGTGAAGAAAGAAAAGAAAGAAAGAAAAAGAAAAGAAAAAGGGAAAAGAAAAGGAAAGAAAAAAATAAGGGGAAAAAAATATAAAGAGAAGAGAGTTTACTAACCTTTTTGTGTGGGGAAAAATTTGGGGATGTATGGGGCATTTATAGGAGAGAGAGTTGTAGGGTAAGTAGTAAGATTGGGCCTCATAAAAGTAATGAGCCAATTAAGTAAATAAGATGAGTTTGACTTTGTTTGTTTGGACATGAATTATAGAATGAAGGTATGTACAAAAATTTGTACCAAAATAATTTTCGACCCAAAATTAAAAATTGAAACTTTTGAAATTAAATTCCGGAAAAATACAAATAAATATTATAAATAATATATAATTTCATTTATAATATATTTAAAAATATGGGGGATTACAATCTACCCCTCTTAAAAGAAGTTTCGTCCCGAAACTTAGCACAAAATCCCTTAAATTGCAAAAATATTTGCATAAAATCATTTCAAAAATTTCAAAATTATGTTGTTGGAATTCCAATTGTGTTATAATATTGACTTTAATATCTTATCACCATCCCAATTTACGCACTTCACTAGATACGTAAACAATAAATAGCTATGAAAAGCATGGAAACACCATAAAATAACATAAAATAGGGCAAAAAGCGCGGAATTATACGCATTCTATCCCCCTTAAAGAACAAGAGTTACGCACTCGTAACTCACCTCATTAAATAACTCAGGATTTCTCTATCTCATATAATCCTCGGCCTCTCAAGGGCTTATGTTTTTCCTCAAAATTCGAGTATACCAAAATATCATCAATAAAAACAACTACAAACTTACTCATGGAGTACTCGATTCATCAAGTCTATAAAGATTGCAGGTGCGTTGGTCAACCAATCTATTCCCAAAATGACATCAAGGTCACCTGATCAGTCTATTTTATATATATTTTATTCCCCGTCCCACGGTCATATTTGTGCTTATTTGAGCTCTACAGAGCTATTTTTATTACTAATATACGTTTTCTAGTGTTTTTGTAGAGTTTGTATTATTTAGTAGGAATTTGCAGATTTATGACAATTCCCGAGCTTATTGAGCCACTACAAAGATGTTAGAGTTTGATCGTATTTTATGACCGTATATTTAAAGCCCAAGATCGAGTTAAAGGAATTTAATTCGGTGATTAAGGGCTCAATTAATAAAGAAGTCCAATTATAAGCTACTATTACGGACCAAGTAATGAGGCCACAAAACATAAGACAAAAAACAAAGGTCCAAGAGTAAACAAGAAGGCCCAAGAAAGAAGCCCCAATAATATCACAAGAGGTCTGCTGACGGGCCCGGTCGATTGGGATTCGGCCCGATCGGGCGTAGATGTATTGCCATTAATGTATTGCCGCTGCTTGCAATTGTTCAATTGTTGGTGTAATTATTTTGGGTCAAGCATTTAAGTAGGCTTGCTAGCTGCTATAGTTTTGGGCCCATACTTTTGTTATTGCGGACGAGAGGCGGTTTCTGAGTATTAGTTTCTTTGTAGTTTGAGTTTTATTAGGAATAGGAAACTAAAAGTTTCTAGTTGACTTTTCCTTATAAAAGGAGTAGTAGTACGTGGGGGGTAAGGTTCTCCAAGCTTTAGTTTTAGGTAGTTTTCTTATTAATTAGTTTTAGTTTTTAATTTAGTCTTCTTTACTCTTTCTCTCTCTCTCCTCTTAATTAAACTCTTAGTATTTCTTTCTCTTTTGTTTCTCTCTCTACAACTCTTGGTTTAATTCCATCCTTTATTTAATCTCTTTCCTTGATCATGTCTTGTTTAATTGCTTTGTTTAGTTTAGATTTAATTATGTGTGAGTAGTTTTCTTTCTAGGGTTTGTGGGGATCCATAAATAATATGAAGGGGTAATTTATTGTTGTTGATTGTCAATGCTTAATTAATTTCCTATTGATTGATTTAATGCTCTGTGACTAGATTAGGCCTGATCTTTTATGCATGAGTTTGACAATATTGATTCGGGATTCGATAGATGAGAATTGATGTTTAGGTCTAATTTCAATAGGCAGGTTAATTTATAAATGGTTAAGTCGAGATTCGAGAGATGAGATTTAATACCGGTAAATTAATTGTGTGATTGTAATACGTAGCGAAATCCCTTTATGATCTGACTAATGTATGCATTGATGATTGATTATTATGTTTTACCCTGGAATATTATTTATTGGTGAACCTATGCCCTAGGCCTTTTTATTCATTGTTTCTCCTCCTACTTTTATTCTTTCCCACTTTTACTCTTTGTAGTTTAGTTTCCCTTCAATAATAATAATTTTTTACTCTATAATCTAGATTATATTAATTAGTTAGGAATAAAAAGACTTGTTTCCCTGTGGATTCGACCCTACTTCCCTATCTATTTCAGTTAGTGGTTTTAGGAATTACTTTTGATTAGGGGATACGACTTTACCCTGTCATCAGGCCAACTCAAATTCTATAAGATCAAATGGAAAATCAGTCTCTCTAATCCTCAATGGTTATCCCTTATGTATCTTGGTGCACCTCACAACTTCACCAGTAGGCAAACTAATAGGCAAGTCAATCGGATTCGGTTCAACTAGTCCTTATTGTTTTACAACAGAACTATAAATAAAAGAATAGGTGGCTCCAGAATCAAATAAAGCTTTAATAGAAATAGAATGAACAGAAAAGTTACCAGTGACAACATCAGAAGACCTTTTAGCTTCCTTCTTGTTCATCACAGAAAAACGACCTGTAGTGACATTCTTTCCTTGATTCCCGGAGTTGTTGCCAACATTTCCGTTCTTTCCATTCCCATTATAACCATTCGAATTCTCTCCTTGATTGCTTGTTGGAGTAAACTTGTTCCCATTCCCTTGTTGCTTCAATTTGGAGAAACACTAAAACTTCCTATGGCCTTTCTTGTTACAGAACCTACACAGAACCAAGTTCCCATCATAATCTTTTCCAGGATGATCCTTGCCACATCTCTTGCAGTTGTAATGCCTTTCAGCTTGGCCATCAGGTCTAGAAGATCCTCCATTGTTTTGAACATTCCTATTCTGGAAATTTTCGTTCCTTGGCTTCTTAAAGTTACCTTGGTCACTCGAATTCCCAAAATCCTTACGCTTTTCTCCAACACTCCCACTCTCAAGTGCACTCCTGACATTCAAGATGTATAGGTGCGCTGCTCTCCCATACACCTTATCAAGAGTCTTAAAAGTCTTTCCAGCCAAGTCCTTTTGTAACTGCTTAGTCAAACCTTTCTCAAATCTTTGAGCTTTCAATTACTCAGTAGGCACAACTTCAGGAGTAAACCTTGACAAGTTCATAAACTTGTTATAGTACTCAGTAATCGACATATTGTTCATTTGCAGATTGATAAACTCTTGAGCCTTTTGTTTCCTTAAGAATGGTGGATAGAACTTCTCCCTAAGTTTGGTTTTGAAAGTCTCCCAACCAAAATTAGCCTCAGCACGAAGTACGTTTCCATTATCCCTCCACCAAATATCTGCCTCTTCCTTCAAATACATGGAAGCTTGATCCACTCTCATATTCACAGGACAATTCAAAGTAGTAAAGATATTATCGAACTCCCTAATCCAATTCTCCAGAAAAGTTGGGTCTACACCTCCCTCAAAGTATGGTGGTTGGACTTGTTCAAGCTTCTTAAACATCTACCAGCAGGATCAGGATTTTCATTGCGGTATTGGTTCAAGTTCTCAGCTAGGAGCCTAATAGCATCATCTAGAGCATCGTTGTTAGCCATCCTCCTTCTCTGCCTGGAAGTGTAACACACTCTTAGGCTGATATCGACACAAAAGAACTCTACTTACACAACACACCACATTCTGAAAATATATTAAGGTAGAAAGGTAGGAAAGGCCACACAATCGCCCCTAATAAGTCACTTTTAAAGGAAATGATTATTAAATTTTAATCATTCCTACGGATAAGAAAATAAATAAAATAATTCCCTTGATTAAATCCCTTCCAAAATCCAAGCATTAAGTAAATAATATAATTAAATAAACACATTATAATAATCACATAATTACATGCTTCACGTAAAGTTAATTTACACATATCATATAGCACAAATCATCACATATAGTTCCATGTTACGTGCTTTGAACCTTAAACATGATACTAGGTGATCACAATCAAGTAGCACCTTTAGATAAAACAAACACAATTAAATAACTTGCATAATCACTTCATACAATAATAAAAAGACAAAATAATTAATTACAATGCATATAGAAAGAAATAATCTATCCTATAAGCCCTTTCTAAAGCTACCCAAATCTCACCGATAAAATGAAACAAGCAAGGAAGTTAAGAAAATAACATTAATTAATTAATTAATTTTATTTCAAAATAAATAAATAATTCGAAAATAAGATAAAATAAACAATTTTTTTTTTAATTTATAAATGCCAAATCAAATAATTAAAAAAATTAGATTAAACTTTAAATTAGTAGATAAAACGAAACTCAATAGATTTAAAACGTTAGGCACCTAAAAACTTTAAAATTGGCTTTAGTGGTAATTAAATCTAACCTAAGCTCCCAGATACCACTTTGTAACACCCCTGATTTACTAACTAATAATAAATAAGAAATAAAGGAAAAGTAGACAACCTTTAAATAAAACTACGGAAGCATACACTTAAATCGGAGGTATTACCGCCACACTCAACAACCTGTCGAGTGTTAAGGCTTACGAAATCCCAATTTCAATAAATTAAAACCCTTAGTTTATAATTCATAAAATCTGAAAATTTATAACATAATTAAAATCTGAAATAATTAGTTTAAAACATCACAAACATGATTTTGATACTAAAAATATAATCTTTATACTACAAAATCAAAACCCAAAATAATTTAATAATAAACAAGATAGTAGAACAAAAATAAAAGGTGGAGGAAAGAGGGGCAGCCACGGTGGGCCATAGTTGGGCCGCTTGGTAGGTCGCCGGCGGTGGTGGGCGGTGACCGGCGACCGACGGTGGTGGGCAGCAGGCGACAGCAGGGGAAGCAATGAGCTATGCTCACGTGAAGAAAGAAAAGAAAGAAGAAAAAGAAAAGAAAAAGGGAAAAGAAAAGGAAAGAAAAAAAATAAGGGAAAAAAATAAAGAAATAAAATAAAGAGAAGAGAGTTTACTAACCTTATTGTGTGGGGAAAATTTTGGGGTATTTATAGGAGACAGTGTTGTAAGGTAAGTAGTAAGATTGGGCCTCATAAAATTAATGGGCCAATTAAGTAAATAAGATGAGTTTGACTTTGTTTGTTTGGACATGAATTATAGAATGAAGGTATGTATAAAAATTTGTACTAAAATAATTTTCGACCCAAAATTAAAAATTAAAACTTTTGAAATTGAATTTCGGAAAAATACAAATAAATATTATAAATAATATATAATTTCATTTATAATATATTTAAAAATATGGGGGATTACATAATGAAAAGGAGATAAGAGAAAAGGAGAGAAAACAAAAGGGGAAAAGAAATAGTGCACCTAAAGCTGTGAAACCTAAGAAACTACCAGCCAAGAGAAAGCTGCAAGTAGCCAGTGAACAAGAAACCATGCCCACACAACAAAATTTCTCAAAGGCCCCTATAGTTCACCAAACACCAAAATTTTCCTTGCCAACACCCTGTGCTTTTGTCCTACACAAAATTCCAAAGAATATAGCTGTTAGGAAGAAGGGTTCTCAGAACACTAAAACAGTGGTTGAAACAATGGTGGTGAGTGAGAATGGATTTAATGCAGCAGTTCAAAGTAGGTAGGCTAAGGAACCTTGGGTTGTGAAATAATATGGTAGTAGTCAAAGTAGCAGAGCTATGATAGATGGTGAAAAGGATGAAGGGGTTGAACAGAATGATGAACAGGATGCAGGGACTGGGCAGCAAGATGAACTAAGTTAGTAGGAAGATGAACTGGATGGAGGGGCTGGGTAGGAAGATGATATGGATGGTGAATATGAAGAGGTGAAGAAATTGGGAATGTTCGTGACACATATGACCCATTGTAGGGAATATTTCAAGTATTACCCCAAACTTGAACCCCACTGTGATCATACACTAAAGTACAGTGGCGTCCAAAAGGAAAGAAGATAGAGCAAAAGAGTCGCCAACAAGTTTTAGGAACTTGTAAACCGCTCACAGGGTGAAGGTTACACCCCTTAACGATCCAGGAGATCATTAACTCCAATAGGTCTGGAACCATGACTGGTAGTTCGGGGATGAAGGTACAAATCCAACCTAAAAGAGATTGAACCTGCCCTAATAATAGACCTCTACTTTATTCTGATCGTATTCATGTGCGCTTTCTGACTAACATGCAATCAATAGGTTTACCCTAAACCTGTTTAATCTATGTTGGTTGAATATTAATGCACAAACAAAACTATTATTGGCGATCACTTGAATTATAATCAAATTAACCCTAAAAAGATTATTAATTAATTTATTAAGCGTGATTACAAGTACCAATTCCCTTTATGCATAAAAGGAGTAATCAAGCAATAACAATAAATAATGTATCAAGCAACATGATAATAAAAATAATAATCATCATAATAATAATCATTATAACTAATAATCATAATGTTAAAGCATAATAATAGCAAGATCCTAGGCATGGTACTAACAAGATTAATAACAAAACCTAGCATGTCACTAAACAATAAAAATCAAAGCTTTAACCCTAACATGATACTAACATGCATATTAGGAAAGAAAATAGGAATCATCACAGGAATCATGATTGATATAAGCAAATCACCCTAAATATCATACTAAGAAAAACATCCTAACATGATACTAGGAATCAAAATAACAACCTAGACATGATTTCTATATCATAATAACAATAAATCAATTAAAGTGCCTACTTGGATGCCTCGTATCTCTTTCGAATAACAAAATACACACGTTAGTAACTTCAAGGAAAATATAAAACAAAACAATTAAGGGCCTGTTCTCTTACGTTGAAGTTCAGTTCAATTTAGTTCATCTCAGCTCAGCTTTGCTCAGTTCAGTTCAGTTCGGTTCAGCTCAGCTCATTTCATTTCAGTTCAGTTCAGTTCAGCTCCTAATTTCCTTCTCTTATAAAATATTCATTTCAGTTCAGTTCAGTTCAGTTCAGTTCAACTCAGTTGAGTTCAGTTCAGTTCAATTCGGTTTAGTTCAGCTCAGTTCAGTTCAATTCCGTTCAGTTCAGTTCAGCTGAGTTCAGTTAATGAGAACATGCCTTAAATTAAATAATTGAAATAGAGATTTGGGACCAAACCCTCAGAAATTAAAACCTTTCACGTCTAGGGCGAAGGCAACTTTGAACAATGCTAGGTATGTCTAGTGCTAATGTATGAGGAATTGTGTTTGTAAAAAGGCTTGAAAAGAGAGAGAGAGAATCAACAAATTCTTGATGAGAGTTGGTGAGAAAGAGAATTAGAGAATTGATGATTGAAAACAGAGGCTTTAGGAGGCTATTTATAGAGAAAATCAGCCGGATGGATAAAAAAATGAATCAGAGTTTCGAAGAGAATAAAACGACTTAGTGCCAGATGCTAGACATTAGCGCCAGACGCTAAGGCTAGCGTCAGACGCTAAGGCTAGCGTCAGACGCTAAGGCTAGCGTCAGACGCTAAGGCTAGCGTCAGACGCTACGGTTAGCGCCAGGCGCTAATCCTGTAGTCAGGCGCTAGAAACCAGTTTAACGCGTTTTCTTAATTTTGATAAAATTTAGTCGTACAGAAGGGCAAAATCGTATTTTCCTTAAAAACACTTCTTTTATTCTGATTAAAACTCTAAGAAGTCAACCAAAGTCAATTTATCAATGCTAATTAAAAGGAATGAAAAGAACCTTCTAGAAGAATCTAGAAGACTATAACCAATTCTAATTGCATTAGGAATGATAAATCAATATTAGGCCCTCTTCTAGATCATTGGGCCGCATATAAAGGTCAAACCGGGCCTAGTTTAGTAATTTGGCCATAACTTCCTCATTATTCATCGGAATTGGGCTTATAATATATCGTTGGAAAGGTCTTTTAGAACCCGACCCAACTACACTATTATTGGACCCTTGTCATGGACCAAACCAAATTGGATTGGCTGTATTTTTAAAATAGATTTTCAAAAACAGAGAGAAAGAAAAGAATTAAAAACTAACCGCAACTAGACTTTCCACACTTTCACTTCATTCGATTATGATTTGACGTGAAAGGTACTCATCACCGGGTTTGTTTTTGGTATACGTAAATGGGTGTCTACACCCATACATATTAGATTGTTGGCAAAGAGATCTAGATATGTATGACACTTATATTAGTAGGATGTATAAAAATGGTGAATTTGTGTCTGATGTTGAGTTTGGTAGTATAGTGTTGAAGTCTTGGATGATACACAATGATAAAGAGCATTTCATGTCTATGATCAGAGATTATTGTATACAATGTGGTTTTGCTATAGTGGTTGATAGGAGTAGTCCAAGGAGATTCACTACATCCTGTCTTGATCTACATTGTGGTTGGAGAATTCATTCAAGTAGGTTACTAGATGGAGTTACTTGGGAAATAAAGAGCATAAAGAATTCTGAGCACACTTTTAGAGGTTTAGATGAAAGGAATCCTGTAGTGATTGTGAAATGAGCTGCCAAAAAAC